TCACATATACTAGGATTTAATTAGCATAGGAGTTTATTATTTTTAGTTCGACCCATTCAAGATTATAAGAATAACATCTTAATTACAATCCCTTGGTACAAGGGAAAACCTTTTGATTCTAATTAAAACAGTAACTTATATTTTTTTTTTTTTTTTGTGAATTTGGGAAAGTTGGGTTGATTTAAAATTACGGCTGAACTTGGTGAGTTTAGCCAAGTTGCCTACATACCCCGTTGACGGATCATGCCACTTGTAGTTGAATTTGGAATTGGGATTTGTGTTGGATAATTTTATTTTAAATATGGAATTTGTATTTGGATAATTCCTCAGTACATGACCGTCTGAGGAATTAAAAGAACTTTAAAATTTTGACTTGAAATTTGAAATTTGTTTTAATTTAGATTTGGATAATTTCTCGGTATATGATTGTGTGAGGAATTAAAAGAACTTTGAAAATTTGACTTGAAATTTGAAATTTGTTTTAATTTGGATTTAGATAATTTCTCAGTATATGACTGTGTGAGGAATTAAAATGTCTTTTGAAATTTGATTTAAGATTTGAATTTAGATAATTCTAATGTGGAATATAAATTGAATTTCAAAATGGTGACTGTACCTAGATTTTGTATCTAGGTTACGTACGTATTCAAAATAAAATCAAGTCTTCGTTGTTCTTGTTTTGAAATTTAAAGTTAGAAAATTTATAAAATTTTATTCTGTAAAGTGAATGACCTCATTGAATATTTAGGGCAAATTTTAATTTTAGATGCTTCTCTTCCGTTATTTTTGGAAATTGACCACATCATCACAAATATGTGATACACATATCCCTAATCTGTTTGAATTTCAAACAAAAAAAGTCACTGATATATATATAAGGTCTCCGGTCAGGCACTTGAAAAGTCATTTTGTTTTTAGCTTTTCCTTTATCATCAGTAAGTCATTTTGTTTTAATTTTTTCATCCGTATGAAGTGATCACCAATTTTTTTGTTTCAGGCTAGGTAAGTCAAACCTAAAATTGTAATAATATTTTAAATTGATTATCATAGTTAAATTTATCAAATATACACACATTTATATTTTTTGAGTTACATTATAACAATCATATCCTTTTTTATATTTTTAAAGACTTTACATCTTGCAACCTCATGATTCTGTGGAGTTTTAAAACTTACAACTCTATTTTAATTTTTTTTAGAGGTTCTAAATTTTGTAATCCCATAATTTTATCGAGTTCTAAAACTTATAATTCTATTTTAATTTTTTCTGATTAGACCAGTTCTAAAACTTACAATTCTATTTTAATTTTTTTAGAGGTTTTAAATTTTGTAACCCTATAATTTTGTAGAGTTTTAAAACTTACAACTCTATTTTAATATTTTTAAAAGTTTTTAAAAAAAAAAATTACAACCTCATAATTTTCTGTTTGCAACCGGTATGTCTTAAAACCTGAATCTGACCAACACTGATGAACAAATTTAGGGCCCGTTTAGTTCGCTGATTCGAGTTTTTAATTCGAGTTGAGATGTAATTTTATGTGAGAGTTTTTTACTGTAGTAAAAAAGTTAGATGTGATTGTTTGTGAGAACTTTTTACTGTAATAAAACTCAAATTCTAAACTCGAATCAACAAAATGAACAGACTCTTATTTTTTTAAGATGACTCTTCGGTACGAGGGAAGGCTAAAGAGAAATCTTCACATTTTCTTTTTCTTCTGTTAAGTTTGACTTGACTTTCTCACTATCTCACATTTTCTCTCACTACTGCAATACACTCACTTTTCTGTAAGGCCGGCAATATGGGTCCCGACACGACGACACGACTCGAAAACGACACAAATTTTGCGGGTTAGGGTTGAGAAAAAAGAGGTTCGGGTCAGAATTGGGTCGACCTGAAATTGACACGAAAAATACGGGTCAATTTCGGGTTGGACCCGCCTAACCCGAACACGACACGAAACTCGTAAAAAACTAAAAAATACATATATTTTTCATTTCATATTTTAAATTTTATTATGAACTTGTGATATCATGATAGTTATACTTAAAATCTTATACTATTATTTGCTTAATTTCAATGGATGTTATTGTAATTTAGTGTGTTATGAATTTTAAGTTATTTCTAATATGTAAAAAACTAAATAAAAGTATACAATTTTCGTGTCAATTTCGGGTTCACGGGTCAATTTCGTGTCACGGGTCATTTTCGGGTCGTGTCGTGTCAGCTCGTAAAGTGGTCGTGTCGTGTTCGTGTTGCGGTTTTTAAAAAATTTCGTGTCACGGGTCGTGTTCGGGTTGACTGAAAATTTTAAAAAAATGATCAAAACACGACACGAACACGATACGTGACACGAATTACCACCCATACTTTTCTGTGCATAAAGTCTGTGCATAAAGTTTGCTACGTGGGAATTCTAAAAAGGAAAGTGTCATTTACACGCCTATATATAGGCATATGAAACAAACCCGTTAAAAGCAACTTTTCCCATTTTTTTATTAATTAATAATATTTTTTTAGTTTTTCCCATTTTTTTATTAATTAATAATATTTTTTTAGTTCTTCGCATTCATTTGATTGGCTCCTTTTCACAATGCTTGAACTTTAGGCTTGAGTATTTTTGAGTTAAGTTTTTGAGTTAATTTTGAGTTATAATTTGAGTTCAAGTTATAATTTGAGTTTGTGTTTAATTGTGTATACTTAAGTTATGATTTAAGATAATAATCTTTTTGAGTTTGTATTTATTTATAATAAAATGTGAGTTGTGAATAGTGGATATGATTTTTTTTCCTTAAACAATTTTATTCAATTCTTTTACAATTTTTTTATTTTCTGAATTTACTATGTTTTTTGTAATTGAATATGAATAATTTAAATTACTTGTAAATAATTATTGAGTAATCTGATAATTTTAAAAAATACATAATTACAAAAATAAAAAATAATAAAAATAAAAAGTAAAAGATCAGGAAATGGTTCTCTCGGTCTCCATTATATTCACATTGACATTAGACATACACACACAAATATATATATATTTATATATTTATATATTTATATTACAAAAAGTAGTCTTGCGTTGAACCACGTGAAATGACAGTGTAGAAAGAAGAGTTGAAAGCAAGCTTCAGCAACGCACAGTTCTCAGGGTCAGGAATCTGCACTGTAGAAGTGCAGAGAAGTAACTCAAGTAGCAAGGGGAAGTTCAACTCAAAAACGGGTTGGTAACTCGAATTAATTTCGAGTTCGAATTCGAGTTTTCAAATGCTGAACGCGAACTTGGGCCAACTTCAACACTCGAGTGGGCCTTTCTCGAGTAAGTTGCAGCAAACGAACATATCCTTTATCTCTCAAAGATTGCCTCCACTCACGTAGATCACTGATGTGAAAGATAACTTTCATATAACAATTTTGTAAACTTTCCCACGTTACTTTTCATTGGACTCCCTACTAATTACCCATGCATCCACTTCCTCCACGAAGTTATCCAACTTCCCTCGTGACCATATATTGTTTTATTTTTATTTTTACTATTTTTTATTTTTTTGTATTTTTTGTTTCAACACTATGTATATCTTTTCTTTTCTCTGGTACAAATATGTAACAAATATATATTTGTTGTTTAGTTGTTTTAATTGATTTGTAATCGGAATAGAAATATTAGCCAATGTGGATTAAGAGCTTGTCTGGGTTTTGTTGTACAATTATCCAGAGAAAACTCATGATTCGTTTGCAAAGAGAGCTTGAAATTATGCGAAGTTATGCTTTCTTAGGAGGATATTTTCAATAAAGATTATAAAGAGTTCTTTTTAGGAAATCAATCCTTGAGAGAGAGAAATAACAAGAGCGAAACGGGTATTTGTTTAACAAACTACAATCTAATAAAATTGTTTGAATTGTATTCATACTTATTTACCAAAGATACCTTAAAAAAGAGCTTAAAATTTAACAGATCAATGATGAAACGTATTTGTGACGAAAGGATGAGTTAAAGGATCCTTAACTTTTAAAATTTCAACCTTACTAAATCTAATATCAGGTGTCAAAAATAATTCAACCAAAACCATAAAATTAATGTAGAATGTGAAGTTGAAAATATTCATTCTTCTCAAAATGTATTTGCAATAAGAAAAAGAAGTATAATCTAATGGACATAATTTATGACCTTAAATAAATGGTGAAAAACAATACTGCGATGACTAAATTATAAAAACACGATTAGTGCATATATTTTTAATTGCTCACACGTGCGTAGCACATGTATTTAACTAGTGTGTATATATATGCGTGTGTGTTATGTTGGTTTCTTATGAGGGAAAAGGAAGAGCTATTTTTTATATGTTTTTCTCCGTGAAGCAAAAATTGCTAATGGGTTGTCCGTTATAAGTAAATTGTACATTCTCTTTCATTATCCTGCATTTGTATATGCATCTTGATTTAGGTTGTTTATGCTTTAAATTTGGTTCTTCAATTATGTCTTTTCTTTGAAATTAATAATGTTATAAAACTTGCACATTATGTCTTTTCTTTAAAGTTAATAATGTTATAAAACTTGCACATTAGTACTTGTCTGGCTGCACTATAGCAATGTTTAAATTTGTGGAAAATATTAAATAAAGAGGTAAAGAGTCGAAGAAAAATCGATAAAGCTAAAGAGTTTGTTGTTTACTACAGCACAATTTTTCTATTGTTCAGTGAGATTATTTAGTAGAAATGATAGACAAAATAGTTTTTGAATCAAACAGAATACAAACCTTGATTCACGAATTCATTATAGACTTCAACCTTGCTTCACGTTCTTCAAACATCATAACGACCAAAACAGAATACAAACAAATTGGTATAGCTTGGAGCCAACAAATAAGATAAAGGACTCGCTACCTGAAGCTTTATTCATGTATCCATTTTTTGTGCTTGAAAATTGCAGAGACCAGGTTTTCAATGGGATCCCTTTGTAGCAACTGAATTTTTCCTTAAGAGTTGTCACCAAGGGGACAAAATATGTTAAAGTAAAATACTCGAGTCCCACATCGTCTAAACAAACATAAGTATCATCATATAAAGATATTGAGCCACTCCACTTAAACAACTTAACCTTTTAAGATAAAAGGCCAATACCTTATAAAATGTAATTTTTTTCCCTCACTTTTCTTCTCATCTCTCATCAAACTCTAATAGTATATAGCCCAATTCATGTTATTTATGCCGTTGACATTACACGAAGAACATGTCCTTTAATTTCTTGTGGACAAACTATGAGAAATGGAAATATTAAACTTCAATTTTTGCTGCCTCCATTGGTCTTCTCCCCTTCTGGTAGTACTGAAAATAGATGTCAACATAATTTTTAACTTTTCTGTATAATCTGGGTCTTGACTCGTTGATCAACTCTTCAAAGGGTTCAATATCATTCTCTGGGTCTGGAACATAAAACACAGCCAAAGAAATCCTCTCTCTTTCTGCATTTGTCACCACCCTGTGCACTGGGCTCTTGAACATGCCGTTACTTGATATCTGCGTATGATTGTAAAAACGAGGCAAGATATGTCAATAAGCTCTGTCATTAATACTAAATGTGCCTTTTCTTCCAGCCAAAGCAAGAACCTAAAAAAATGTCTTCACATGTTTTCATAAATGGGCAAATTACACAAGTGTCTCCAACGTTTCAAATGCACAACAACACCCCTTGAACTTGAGAAAAGTGGCTATATTGGTTCTTTTGTCTGTTTTTGTCCAAAAAATGGTCGGAGAGCCTCACGTGCCGGGTGTTATTTTTCAGTTAAAAAACAAACAAAAGGACTAACGTTGCCACTTTTATCAAGTTCAGTGTGTTGGCACATGTAAAAAATAAAGGGACACACTGAGTGTCAAAGTGAAAGAAGAACTTTTCTAATTTGTTCTTTTTATTGAAGGGTAAGTTGACATTGCTATTCATCACTAAGGCTGCTAATTACCATGTATACAAAGTGAGGAACCGCACCCTTTGAGTGTGCGATCATCTTCAGTGGTGATGAATATCACTCAACTTCGGGACTTTAGATTATTCATCACTTTTCATTGAAGTTCATATTCTTAGCAGTAGCACTGACATATTACTACATGAGCAGTACAGTAATAATAATTGTAATTTTATTAACATTAGTGATAAACAAGGTTATTGCAATCATTATTACATAATTATAAATATTTTCCGATCCTAACATTTTGTTATGAAACAATATTGACACTCTATTTATCATGCTTTGCTCTTGTTCCTTTCTTAGTGCTTACCTCTGCTTGATCACCAACGTTAATGAGAAGAGCCTCAGGAATGATTGGAGCTCTGTACCACTTGTCAGCTTTCATAAACTGCAGACCTTCCACAGATTCGTCTTGCAAGAGAAGGGTGATTCCTGTGCCGTCTGCATGTGGTTTGGTACCAAGAACAAGATCCGGCCTCGGACACTTGGGATAAAAGTTGAATCTTGCATGAAGTTTTGATCTTTCTCCATATTGATCCACAAAGCAGTTCTCCTCCAAGCTCAATGACCTTGCCATGGCCTTAAGGACCACAACACCTATTGATTTTAGCTTCAAAGAGTATTCATGTAAAGTAGACCTGCAATTTTATGATTTCCAATATGATCAATTGTCATTTCTTCAAATCATTTAAAAATTATCATACGTAGCTGCAAGCATAATCTAACGTTAAAACCACACCTGCGCCACCGTAAGGTGTTGAGTTCAAATCCTCACCCTTGAGTTCAAAACAGAAAAATATCATCAAAGTTCTCATGTGATACTTACTATGCGACTTTTATATTTAATATGTTAACTTTTTATTGTTTAAAAAACAATGTGTAAGAGTATGGATACTAATAAAAGCTTCAATATGCTAATGGATACTAAACCCATTCTAATGTAATGCTAAATTTCTACGCCATACATCTACATAAGAAAATTATTTTCTAATGCCACATTGTACTTCAGATTAAACTCAACGTGCTAAATTTAGCACCAAATATAGCTTATGCCAAATTTGACATTTGTTGCTTATTTGCTGATATGTTGACTTTCTCAATTAATAATTATGGCATTATCATTTTAAAATGGATTAATCACAAAACTTCCTCTTGAATTATAGCCCTTGTAACACTTTACCTTCTAATTTTTAAAACATAACATACGCTTCTTCTGAACAATAAAATGTTAACAAAAAGCCTTCTCTGTTAGGTTTTTAATTGAAATTAACATTTAATTTACTATTTTGAGGGTTTTTTTGATAATTTTATGGTTTAAAATTTAATTTGAATTTAAACGAATTAAAATATTAAAAAAAATTCATAAATTTTTTTATCCTACAAAAAAAAAATTATAAATTTTTAACTTACATTCAATCAATAACGGATGTATCATAATTAAAAGTTCAAGTATAATTTAATTTTAAATTCAAACTAAATTTTAAACTGTAGAGCTATTAAAATACTCCAAAATAATAAATTAGATGTAAATTTCTCTTAAAAATACCTAGCAGAGGAGGTTTTTCTCTTAACATTTTATGTTCAGAGCAAATGGATATTACGTTTTAAAATTTAGGGATAAAATATTATAAGTGATATAATTTAAGAGGAATTTTTATCATTATCCCCTTTAAAATTTTAAAGTGTGAGAAAATTAAAATTATTTTTTACGAGTACTAGAGCTAAAAATTAGCTATAAAAATTAGATATGGTATTTAAAATAACATTCTGCATTTGAGTGAAAAATAAAATGACATATTGTCTTTTCATACTTTTTAGTCAAATGTAACATTCGCTTTAGCATTTTGATTGCACATGGTCTAATAAAAGCTTCAATATGCTAAACCTCGTTTAAATAAGTTTCTTCTCTTCGTAGAATCCCTACAAAACCAATACTCTGCTTAGGATTCCCTAATTTTTACAACTATAGATTCTATTGTTTAAAACAAAAAAACAAAAAAAAAAAAGAAAGAAGTGACAAGACAATATACCTAAAAGCTTCTGGCTTTTCGGGCCAAAATCGGAGCTTGCGCTGATCTTCAGGGTATATGGCAAGGTAGAGTCGGTCAGTCCAATCAAGCTTTTGCTGCTCCCAGAGGACCATGTCATTACCATACCCTTCAATATCATTCTCTTCTCTCAAGTACAATTGTTTCTCTTCAAATGGAAGATGGAAAAACTCTTTTGTAATTCCACGGACTTGATTCAGGAACTCAGGACTCATGCCATGATTTATTGCCTTGAAACAACGAAAACCAACTCTTAATCATGATTTTAACTTGTTTAGATATAGAACCAACAAATTATCAAGAGGGCAATCCCAAAATTGAAGTTTCTTGACAGAATTAGTACAATTAATCCTGAGAAAGTTCAAATTCTTGCTATGAAAATATTGGTATTAGAATTATAAGATTTCGGTTTGCTTTTAATTCTGAGTTCTTGTTATGTGCAAAGAAAACCAGTATCCAAGACCAATTCTCACTGATCTTGAGATAAACTTTGATTTTAATTTGTGGGACTTTGTAAATTTGGACCTCTAAAAATAGCCAAAAAAGTGAATCTAACCATTGAACTATATGAACTTTCAGCATATTGGTGAAAATTATGGAGAGAAAAAAAAAAGTTTAGGATTTGAGACCTGAAAACAACCCCATGTATTGAGAGCTGAGCGAAGCTTGTCAAGCTCCTCTGTAGAAGAACCAAGAAGAGCAATATCAACAACCGGAACATCCATGATTGGGGCATTTGGAGCTCCACCATCACCATCTTTGTGGATAAACTTTTCAGGGATTTCTTCTCCTTTGGAGGCAAGATCCTGAACTGTTCTTGGCAGTGATCCCATCTTGGAAAAATGATGTACCCTATATCTTTCTTTAGTGTATTTAAGTAATATCTATAGACCACCTAGTGTGAAAGATTATCCCACGTTGGTTGCCCTTTCTCAGAATTTTCATATAGCAAAAAAAAACAAAAAAACAAAAAAATTATCTATAGTGTTCAGCTAAATCCTTGATTGATGTGAAAGGATAATTACGATATGGAAGAATAATGAAGGGGAATCGGACTATTTATTTAATGCAAGTTTTCTATATTAACAGGTAGTATACTAGTAAGAACTATGACCAAGTGAAGGGTCCCCTTGATTAAAATTTAAAAGCAATTTTTCGCTGGCGATCTTCTAGAGAGATCGAAATCACATTATTTGCTTTCGTTTATTTTATTTTTTAAGTTGGAAGTCAAATTAAGGAGGCAGAAAACAGCTTTCTATCTCTGTCACTAGTATCTTTGAAGGAACAAGGTAAATAGCAACCCAAATCACTGACTTGGAAAAGTTCTGTACAGTGGAATACAGGAATATATATATATATATATATATATATATATATAGCTCTAAGGTCTCTGGTTCTAAGTGGCTGACCGGAACGATAATGTATAATTCTATATAAATTGTATATATTTATCTTCAAAAATCGTGTATGTTATATATAAATTGTATATATTTATCCACAAAAGCCGTGTATGTTATATATAAATTGTATATATTTATCCTCAAAAGTCGTGTATGTTAAGTTATAAGAAACGACAATATATATTAATCTTCAAACCATGTATTTTTTATAGCAATTAGTGAACACATAACATAAAAATATATATTGACTGATTTATTGTATTTCATATTAAATATACACGACTCTACATATAAATATACACGATTTACATGTAAATACACAATTTATACAGAATTATACAACTGCTAGGAGACAATTTATATATATATATATATATATATTGTTCTTCAATTCTTTTAAAACGTTAAAGAGTATAGTTGATCATCCAAAAAACGATGATGATGATAATAATAATGATGATGAAAACGAAAAACTATTAAAAGCATCATTCAATTTGTCCTGATATCAATTGTAACATTGTCTGATCCACTAACACAATGCTATTTATTATTTAAGTGTCTCTAAATTAGAGTCTGTGTTTTCCATTTAACTTTGACATCAATATTTGGGGGAAGTGACAGACATGACATAGTTACATTTTGACTTCGTTAATAGCTACTACTCCTTTCTGAAAGCAGACATAGTTCAAATGACCATAATTTTTCATTGTTTTGTAAAGTTTTGGTCTTTCTTCATCTACCAAGCCATCCGCTGGTCCAATCTCTTCCTCAGGATCTGGTTCAATAAGCATTGCTACAGACACCCTCATCTTTTCCGGGTTTGTTGTCACCCTGTGCAGTGGGCTCTTCATTATACCATTAGTCATAATCTGCCAACATTTTCAAAAACCCGATTACAAACAAACAATGCCAAGTATCACTAGTGGTGATTATCTTCATGACTGTTTGAAATACAAATATTCATATTCTGTCATTATGCGGGATCAACATGTAATGTGCACTTAAAACGTCAGTCGTAAGAATTTCTCATTAGAAATCTCGCATGGTCATAGCTTTTTCTAAAATATACTTAAGCTGTAAGAAAATGTGACACTATACCATAGAAAGCCTTTTCTATTTTTATAAAGACAAATTAAAAGCTCTAGCCCCAATAAGTAATTGGGTTAAACTGGATGTAAATAACCTTCATGCCATTAATTTATTGACCCATATGCAAGTCACATGTAGATTTCCGTTAAAAAGTTAACACCGCTATCAATTGGTGTGTTTCGCAACATATTCCTTAGATCAAGAGGCTAATTGCCAACAATACAAGTTCAGAGGACACATTGCAAATGGGAAACAAGTTCAAAGGACAGCGGTGCAAATAAGCCTAGTAAAGAATTTGAAAATTTTGGACAAAGAAATCTACTTGAATTGGAGTTATTCTGTAGAGTACAATCTCACCTCCATTTGGTCACCCAGATTGACAATAAGGGCATGAGGGATGGTGGGAACTCTGGACCATTCATTGTTTTTGAAAATTTGAAGACCTTCAACTTCTTGGTCTGGCAAGAGCACAGTTATTCCTGATTTATCTGAGTGAGGTTTGAGGCCAAGAACCATATCAGATCTTGGACAAGGTGGGTAGTAGTTGAATCTTGCTTGCATCACTGTTTTTTCTCCAAAATGCTTCAGGAACACATCCTCTTCCAATTTCAATGACCTAGCAGTGGCCTTAAAGACAACATCCATTACTGACCTTATCTTCATTGTATATTCAATCAGAGTCTCCCTACGACAAAATTCAATCAAGCTTTTCAACAACAAGAAAACCTAATGCCACACTGCCACATTGTAATGTTAAATTCTCGTTTTTTTGTCGGTATGAAAAATACTCTACTGGTAGGGCATTGTTTTGAACCGTCAGGTCGCCTACTCTTTAACGTGATTTTGACCAAATTTAATGTTCAGAAACATGCACTATTAGTGGGGATACCCTACTGTAGAAAGCCCTAAAAATCGGAATTATGTGGTAAGTAAAAATAAAAATAACCCAAAATATATATAGGATGAGAGAAAATATTTATGTTACCCAAAATCATTGGGAGTTTCTGGCCAAAGATTGAGCCTTCTTTTATCTTCAGGGAATACCATGAGAAAGAGGCGATTGCACCAGTCAAGAACTTGCTGTTTTGAGACCACCACATCACTCCCAAACCCTTCACCTTCACAAGCTGCTCTTAAGCACTTTTGCTTTTCTTCCATTGGAAGTGAAAAGAATTCCTTCCCTGCTTCACGCACCTTGTCAAGAAATGAGCTAGAAATCCCATGACCCATTGCCTGAAATCAAAAGGCGGAGAAATCTTAGGCATGCTTGATTTGTTACATATCACTATCATTTAGTTTTCTCTTTATTTGAAAAAAAAAAAGGAAAAAGAAAATAACATGTGAAGAATTACTTAAGCAACATCTGTAGGAGTCTTCAACTTTCAATTTACCTTACTTTTCCACCCTCCAAGGAAAAGGTCCACCCTTTGAAGGGTTATCATAATCCCACAATCGTAGATAAACAGAGAAATAAGGTTCAAATGATGACCAATTCCAAAAAGAATAGTGATAACACTCATTCCACTAGTCCGAATAAGGAATTAAAAACCCAGTGATATTATACTCGTCCCACTACTCAAAATAAAGAATTACAAAAAAAAAAAAAAAAAAAAAAAAAAAAAAAAAACAAAAATTAAAAA